AATAGGAATATGAGCTCTGCTTATACTCTTAAGTACGACGCGCTTGACATAGATGGCCCACAGCAACTCACGAAGAGCTACTGATTCCGATCAATAGCGATGCGACTTCTTCCTCCTTCTATGGATACTCATGTGGGCTGCAGCTCGCTTCTTGCAGGCAGCCTTTCGTTGTGTACTGGAGAACACCACCACTCACGACGCGGTGATTGAATAAACACCGTTTGATGAGACCGGATGGAATTCAACTTTGAAATCTGTGTTAGGGAAATCGTTTTTCGCAGGCAACCGGTGATAATGTTAATTATCATAGCAACAGTTGCACATTTGTCCAATAGTGACAATTTGAAAAATGATAAGGCCTTAAATTTAACAGATGCGTAGAAATAAATATGATCGATTGGTGATAAAATTATTGAAATTGGTCCAGGGGCAGCTGAGTTCACAATCTTTCATAATTTGGTTACATGTTCCATTTTCGGTTTTCACATAAAGTACCCCCATATAGAAATCACAGACGTAGTCCTACATCAAAAAACCGCTGCATTAAAAAAAAAAAGCATTTTAAGATTCCACTCGTATACCTTCCCATGAAAAATGTTGATACCTTAATCACTTTCTAGTTCTTCTATTCCCCATGGGAGTCAACGTTGATTTGCCAATAGAGATTAAAGACGTTTATCGCACACACGCTAGCGGATGCATCGCCGTGTAAAGTTGTGTATTATTTCTAGACTAACATTAGAAAGGGGCGGACGAGCCAAAATGCAAACAAACCATATATTGATATAACCGTTCCAGGGCTGTTACAAGATAATCAAAATTTGATTCGCGAAATCCGCGTTTTATCAAAAGAAATCCGCAACTTCAAGTATATAGTTTCCATTTATTAAAAATACCATTTGTATTACTACTAGGGTGGGTGAGCCAGTAATGGAGGTACTAAGCCCTTTTATTAATTAAACAATACATATACGATGTACACTAGACCTGTTCATTTTAAACGAAATGTTCGGAATGTAACGGGTCAACCGTGATTACTGATCGTCATGTTAATTTGAACTTCTGTGCAAATTTTCAGCAAAATCGGTGATGATTTAGAGGTGCTTCAAGTTAATTTTATGTTTTTAAGGTAATTTACGGCTTACAATATTTGTATCTCGAGACTGAAACAACGAAAGCTGCTGTAACAACTTTCATAGCAAAGTTTAATGTGTTATGTATCAACTTTGTAACCAAAGGTTGACTATTCGAAGTGATTTTATTGAAGTTTGACTTAGTTTCATGCTCGAAGATATCTTAAAATGTGAAGAATTTTAAATTTTACATTAATGAAATTGATAGTGATATCGGATAGAGAAGACGTGTATTCACTGAAAGATTATTTACTAAAAAGATAGATTCCCAAGATTCTGGGACTTTGAAATTTGTGTAGGGTCTGAAAATAGAACGTTTCTTTAAAATTTGGGATTAATAACAATCTTCGTGATGCAAGATTTAGAGAAACAATAGTTAAAATGTGAGAGTTTAAAATTTTTCCAAGATAACAGATTTGAAAAAAATTATATCATATTTATTAAATAGTCGTGCAGCCATAATTGTCAAGGTTCTGAGACTTGGATGTATTTTAAGAGTTAAAACAAATTACAGAACAATCGATAGAATCTTGCGGACAAACCCTGGAATTTTCAGTAAAATTTAAAAGTATTCAAAGTGTTGATTTAAAAAAAAACTATTGAGGAGGATCCCACATAGTTTTCGAAGGAGAAGTTCAGAGCAGAATTTCAGAATTATTCTGACATGAAGTCCTTAGAAATTGTTAGAAGAATTTGGAGGGATTTCTGTGGAGAAGATTGCAAGTTCTAAATTAAATTATTAGGTAATTTTTGAAGAATCCTTAAAGAATTAAGATGAGAATTCAACTAGAAACAGAGTTCTAAGAGTGTTCTGGCGATAATTTCAACCCTAGTGTGAATTATTCATCAAAGAGCTACAACAAAATTTATTGCAAAAAAATTGCTAATAATTAGAAAGAAATTCTTTAAATGGAGTATTAGGAGTAGTAGGTTTCTAAATAATTTAAAATTTCGAAAGATTTATGCTAGAGTTAAAAGAAAATTTTGAAAAGGATTTCAATGAAATCAAAGTCTCCGAATATGTTTAAGTGAATTCTAAGACGGATTCCACACAATTTCTTAGAAGGGGTTTCAAGGAAATTCCAAAAAGAATTCAATGGTAATTATTACGCAGAGTGTTTTCTGGTTAATTTTGAAAGAATTCTATAATAATTCAGATCAGGAAGTTCATTCTGAAATTCATATCATGAGAATTTATAAAAAAAAATAAAACCCGGGGAAATAATAGTTCAGTTTCAGTTTTTAAAAATATATGTTTCTTAAGTCCAGCATCTTCAATATTTTGTTTTAAGGCTCATGCACTTAACATCTGAAATTGAATTGCAAAAATCAATTTGAAATATTGCTGAGTGATTAAATTCTAAAAACAATAAGGCGATCTGAAGAAAATGCAGCAAATAGAGAAAGACATTCATTTGGAAAAATCCAGCTGGGTCGCATCCCTATCTTGTTTGCCTTGCCTTGAAAAGAGCTAACATCGCTGCGGGCCCGCGAGTCGTGGGCCCCACTGACAGCTCATAATTTGCAAACAAATAGAAGATTCATGCCAGAATTTCAAAAAAGGCGTGACTGATATTTTAGATATTCTTAATATTTTTGCTTACATTTTGTGAAAAATAAACTTAGAACTCATAAAATATTATTTTCTGATATTCTACCACGAAGTCAACCATTTATATGGCATGAAAGGGAAAATAATTTCATTTGATAAAAATAAGACAATGCAGTCACGCCATTTTTGCAGTTCACACTTGAATTGTGACGTTTCAGATGTGGGTTTCAATCGATGTGCGGTATAAGAGGTGAGGAGAAAGGAAACTAGTGGACTCTTTCGTTCTCGCGTCTTCTTACGCAGCAACAGACGTGACGTCACGTCTGCTGTTGCATAAGAACTTCGTCAGAATGAAAGAGTCCACTAGTTTCCTTTCTCCTCACCTTTTTTTACCGCACATCGGGTTTCAATAACATGGCGGCATATCACCCAGCTGGAAAAATCACTCTGTTTTAATGGTTTAGTCTGAAATTCTGGTGTGAAAATGTATTCCTATGGGCCTGTTCATAAACTACGTAGACAGTTTTTTGGGATTCTTGACCCCCCCCTCCCCCTGCGTAGACAATTGCCCATACAAAAAATTTAAAATTTGTATGGGCCGTCGATAATTGTCAACCCCCCCCCCCCCCTAAACTGTCTACGTAGTTTATGGACAGCCCTATGGTGTATCTAATTTATTTTTCCCGGTTCTCTCATCGAATTCCCGGTTTTCCCGGTTACTTTTCAAATTCCCGGTATTCCCGGTTCGCTGGCCACCCTGCCAATGAATAAGATAGCTGGATACGACAATTTTTTTTATAATTTACTTTACGCAAGATTTAAATACCGTCTTGTGTGTCAACTGAAAAGCATTAAATTATCCTCGGATTAAATCCTGATGAAGACTGTCCGGCTGCTTTGATGTCGACATCAGAGTTAATCAACACAACTCTAAGCAAACATTTTGCAGAATATCTAAACAAGGACGGTAGTAAAAGTTGATCCTAGTTGGAGCTTACCACCATTGATGCCAGTCCCGTGAAAAAAAAGCATAAAATTAATTATATGATTTCAGTAGTAGCTATACTGAAGATCCGAGAGATGTCGCCCCTTCAGTGGTAGGAAAATCATTTTTGCAGTATGGAGAATTTCAGAAAATCAACGATTTGTGACAAAATATGCTTTCACAGAATGAAAAAAATAAACGAGTGTTTACCTTATCACTATTATAGTGATATACTCGTGCAATTTTTGTGCATCTAAAACTGCCCACAAAGACGATAATGAATAAAAACTGAAAATTTTCATGCATTTCCAAATGGTTTCCTACCATTCCCATACATTCGAAAGTGACTGGCCCTCTGGATGTGGATCATGTCAAAAACAACAAAACATGATTAATTAGATCTGTCAAAATGAGTTTAACAGCGATTTGTTGTGTATTTTACTCAGATTTTCACTAACTGCTCCAACATATCGCATCAATGCAACCGGTTGTGAAAATCTATGTGTTTGGATACGCGATAAAGGGCTGTCCATAAACAGAACAAAATTTTAATGTTTATGTTTTTGTTTGTTAAGCTACAGACTTAAGCTGCTGTTACAAATTCAACTTTACAATCATCAACTTGAGTGATGAAAATATTTTTAGATTTTAAAATCCATTTGTAAGATATCAAAATAATGCATCATACAGGAGTAATGATCAATAATATGGAGGCAGCGATGCTTTCAAAATGCTAAGGAAATATTATGTTAAATAAATTTACTATTTTAAGCAATTGAATATTTGTTCAGAGTTACATTACATATCTTAGAAATGGTAATGGTAGAATTTATAACAAAAAGTCAAGCAAAAACTAAATTTTCTGAGGATTCCCGGGTTTACGGGTTAACAAAACAAATCCCAAAAAATAGTATTACTTACGACCTTTTGAATAGTTCGTCTTGAAATAATCCAATAACTGGCAACACTACAATCGAAGGGTACATTGGCGGCGTCGATCAGTTACACTGTGTTGTGAGCCGGTGATGGTGCCTTGCCTACCGTAATACCGTTGCCACCACCCAAGCGATATCAGCAGGATAGGCTACTGCTTTTAAGTGCTCTTTCCCTGCTGGGAAAATTGTAGTGGCGTCCTTGTCCAAAGCTTTTGAGGTTATCCTTGATCTAATATGCTCCGGTGCCTCAATTTACATTCCGATTAAAACAAATCACATTATTCTTCGTTTACACCACTGAGAGAAAATTACCATCATTCACCGTTCGTCAGCATTCACTTAAAAGGCGAAGTTCAGCATATAAAAAAATGTGGGAAAATTAAAAAAACAGAAACCTTGACGGGAGCCATTTTTGCCGGAGCGCTCCGTCCGTACATTTTTCAATACTAGCGCGCTCTTGCTCTCTTCCACTTTGATGCACTATCGTAGCAGCATTGAATTACACACTTTCCGTTGATTGACCGCGCTGAGTCAAATTAAAAGAACATTGTTTCAACTTGCTCTACTGGAATGATAATAGCAGCTTAAAGGTAATCCAAAACAAGCTGCATTCGATCACCACTGGTGACAATATTATTATTCTTCGCGAATCTTGGCGGGAAAGCAATCACGGTGTAGCACTCGAACGAATATTTACAACTCCGATGCCTACGAAGACGCGACAATAACTTTTGAACGCAATAATCTTAACCATTCTTCGCGTCGCAGCGATCGCTACCGTCGTCAACACTAACCACTCACTAGCAATAATACCACCTAGTCACACACGCAGAAAGCATTCGGTCAGAACAGCTTGCAGCCCAACCAACCATGCACACTACTACCACGAATCTTTCCACACGAGCAGAGCAGGACAGATTCGGAAAGCGAGGTGTAAAGCCTTCTCTATCTAGCACGTGCTATACAGAGAAGGGCCTAGCCACACTCTCAGAGCCCATCCTGCTCGCACTTATGGGCGTAGAAAACCGTGGATGTGTGCGAGATGCGTAGAGAGAGAGAGAGAGAGAGAGCGAGAGCGAACAGCAGATCCATGCAAAGTAGTTCCGTATGTATGTGTTAGTGATAGGAAACCATACCAGAAAATAGTGCCAGTGTTGCCAGAACTGTGGAATTTTTAAAAAACATGCGTCCATTACGATTCCAATGATGTCCACTATTTAGGGGGGGGTTTAAACTTGTATGGCTGTCTCTTTTTTTTCACGCAAAATTTACTCAGTTTTGAAAAAAAGTGGAGTTACTTAGAGATCTGAGTAGCTCCACTGCTACGACACTTATTGCCGTAAGTTCCAAATCGGATTAACTTTTGATACCGTCCCTGTTTGGAAGATCTGCAAAATATTTCGTCGCGTTGATTAACTCTGATGTCGACATCAAAGCAGCCGGACATTCTTGATCGGGATATACCGGTATCCGAGGATAATACCGGTTGGAGTTTACCATCATTAGTAAATTTGTGTACGAAAAAAAAAAAGAGATAGCAATATAATTTTATTCTGTCTTTGAGTTACTTTCATCAGCAGTTATAACGTGTAATAAGTACACGGTTACTTTGAAATACTCATTTCGATAAAAACAAAATCACTCCGGTCAGTTTTTTATGTCCTATTCACGACGTATTTCAAATTTTATTTAATTTTTCACCAAAAGTGCACGTTTGCGTCAAATCGTTTTTTGTCTTCGGTGCACTTATTAATTAATGCAAGAAATCTCGCGTCACTTTTCAAATAGACCAATCTACATTGATCAATTCTCTTCACCGACTCTCTTCCGTTGACAACTTGGCTCCAAAACATGTTCAGCTGTTTTTATCGTCCAATACGCTTTATAATACTTTCTTTTAACAGCCCTAATATAAAAAATACCATACCCGAACGATAACCAAAATGATAGAACTATTCCACAAACGGTTTGGATGATACCCTGAACGCGTCGTTAAGCAAAATAACCACATAAACTTTATTTGGAAGACTATTTAGAAAAAAATTACCAGAAATATGAATGAAGCCAAGTTATTAACGAGAGAATCTATGAAGAGAATCAATCAATGTAGATAGGACTGATTGAAAAGACAACAAAACGATTTGACATAATCGTGCACTTTTTGCATTTTTGGAGCAGTTCAGTTTTAGTTGCAACCAACAATACACTTTTTAAAGGATTTTCGCAATGAACTTAGATTTTTTAGGTATAGAGAACGACTCCATTTCTCAGTCAGAGTTTCAAGTATTTTGGAAACGTTACTAAAGCTTTCTAATGCGAGCTGCAATTCAGAAGGACTGACATTAATGTCAAGCAGAAATCTATTGAAGAGTTATTGAAGAGTTAATTCGCAGATCGACCACGGAAAGGACTGATCGGTTTTGATTTTACTAAGGAGAGAGTTTCGATTCAATTGATTTAGAAGAGATAAGAGAGTTGAACAGTACGTTTTGCACTCGTGTACGCTCTACATCGTAATACTCATTCACGGAAACTACCACTCAACAAACATTTCGTCTGATTAACAACTGAACAAGCTTTTATTAAGCATAATATGCCAAAATTTGCCTTCATAAGCTATTACATTTCTTTCAATCTTTGTTGGGTACACCTAATAATTGAATTTTTGTCTTTCCATTAAATTGCATATTATTTTAGACTTGAGAACGTCCACAAGAAATCTGCTCATTTTCATATAATCATGATAAAAGTTAACTTGCAATGATTGATTCTCTTAATTTATTTTTTGTTTTGTTAATAGCTCGCTTGGTTTAAATTTCAGAGTGCATTTTCTGTTGTTTTTGCTAGTTAATACAACTTTAACAATGGTGTAAAATCGAGATAAAAACACACGGGAGACTTGGATTTTTTTTATCTAACTGTAGTAATTAAAGGAGAAACCCGATAGAGAGAATCGATCATCACAGTTAGGCTGTTAGGAATCTAAACACTAGGCATGTGGAGATTTTTGTTTTTTTTTATTGGACAAAATGGGACGAAGAGTCTCAAAATTTTATGAAATTTTGTGCAATTGCTTGAGTAAATAAAAGGCTGACTATATCATATGAAGTCATAATTCGTCGGTCGTCATAAGTCAGCATTATGTGAATGAAACATGCGGCTATGATTAGATATTAAAATGTCTAAACATTTTGAGGGGTTCCTAAAATGTACATTAATATGGTGGTTTATCCTTCAGTATCCCTAAAATTGATAAAGTGCTACTTTTGAATGAGTTTCTGAAGTGCTATTCGACCATCTCAATGTGTCCATTCTATAACGCACACAAGTTATATTTAGCACAAATGCATCCGTTTTTTTAATTTGGGCCTCCCTTAGCTCAGTCGGTAAAGGCGCAGCTACAAAGCAAGACTGGGCTGGAAAATTTCTCGACTCCCTGGGCATAGAGTATGATTGTACTTGCCACACAATTATACTAATGCAGAAATGGTAGCAAGCATCGAAAGCTCTCAATTAATAACTGTGGAAGTGTATCTAGAACACTAAGTTGAGAGCACGCAATAAGCTAATATGCCATAAGCAATAAGCTTGAAATGCGAAGAAGAAGAAGAAGAAGAAGAAATGCATCTTCAAAGCTTAATTTCTCTCGTGGTCCCACTTAACACACAATCTCTAATTAAGTGAGGAAAGCGAGTTCACAGTTGTCCATCAAAAATATATGAACCTAGTTATTGTGATTGCCATAGGAAAAAATACAGCAAAGTTGGTTTTGATGTTTTATTTTCTCACTTGTTTCTATATACAAAATAATTATAAAGGATTAAATTTGAATTCAAGATTCCATGATGGTTCGTAAAATATTGCTAACATCGAGTTTTCGCTCGAATTTCCTATTGCATTAGATATAATTTAGATATAAAATCCTATTGCATTAGATATAATACGAGCGTTCACATTCCAGTGCTGAATAAGAGCTTTACTATTTTCAATGCAATCGTAGGCTTTCATAGCTATGGAAGTACTATTGGACCCTGGATTGGGACGTAATGGCCATTAGGAAGATGAAGATACATTTCGCAAAAATGGTATATTTCGGGAACTCAACTGAGCATATCACATTTTAATTTTTCATATTTTGATACCTTATTTGACACATCTTAGAATATCAACAAGATGTCTTCTTGATTCCAGTTACACTTATAAACGTGTTACGAAAACGAATATTTTTCACTTGTTTATCGATAGATTTGCTGTTCCACAACGTAAGCCCTGAGTAGTGTCTATCCCAATAACGTTTGGGATCGTATGAATCACCTCTACACTTTCTGAAGATATGTGCATCTATTTCAGCATATGGCGTTTCCAAAAATATCACCCGTTCGACGAAGGTTTTGGAATTTGTCGATATTGCGTCTATTGGCAGCTGCTCAACCATTGTTTTTGGAATTGATGACGGCTGTCTTGGGAAATTACTGCAATTGGATATGTTGAGTTATCGAGCTGCATGTGTCTTAAGCCTGGTTTTGACGATTCAATTCAACGTGCTCAACTCAATTGAACTGCGAAATGAACTTCCAAGAAGTTGGTGGAATTACAACTTTTTCATTTCGCTTTCAAGTCACTTGAACGCCAACAACCAGGTCGGGGTTGAATAGAATCAACTCACATGATCCGTGTAAACGAGAAAGCTTGACCACCAACACATCCCTGCTTGGTTCGAGATGTGGATCCAATTGTACCCTTTGTGAAAGGACCCTTTCATGTGGAAATTGGATCACACAAGTCCTAAACTTTTGATACGTTATCTGATGTGCCTCTAGGGCTGCTACTCTTCATTGTCTTTGTCGAAAATTGTGCTCTTATCGCGACTTGTGTAAGCTGATGTATGTTGATAACTTGATACGGCATATGATCCGTTTTGAAATGTGGTGCTGTTCAAATTGTGTGCTTACGAATTCTGTTGTCTTTTAAAAAGCTTGGGTTTTGCAGTGAAATGCTACAGAATTTGACGACAATTGCATGCTTAATGTTTGGTATTGGTCTCTAGTTTGTATCATAGTTAAATATGCTGATCAAGTATGCACTATTAATTACGAGACGCAGATCAACAGAATAGAACTAACGGCAACTGTCCCGGTTTGCTATAAAAAGTTGCTGCTCGAAGACTCCGTCATCAACAATCTCTGTGGCTCCGTTAGATCTCTGCTGCAACACCTCCTTGCTTGAAGATCCCGGTAAACCAGAATTCGGTTTCCGACCGTTTATTCGTAGTATGATGTAGATTTATCTAACCTGTCTGTACAGATGTTTTGTTGGATGATTTTAACAAATCAAATATCACGATTTATCCATGGTTCAATAGTACCTTTGATATCGGTTCATGAAAAATCAAAACAAAATCTTATTCGTTTACCAAAAAAAAACTGGCAACACTTTCACTGCTTAAACCACCACAGCCTACTGAGTTAAAAGAACAAGGGAAAAAATCACCGCTTGATATTCTCATCGCCGCACACACATCTACAATCGAGCGCCAACTTTTCTATACTCTTCTTGCATGATCGAAAAAAAAATCGCAAACGCGAGAGATCGATTTTCACCAATAAATTGCAATTTCTATTTTCCCAATTGGGCACCATCAATATTCAATACCTTTCGCACGGGTTGCACTATTTTCTTCATATTACTCCTCCTGCGCCGTATTTGCGCTGGTAAATGTTATGTTGCGTTCTTCTCGTTATTTTTTTCGTTCGATCCTCCGCCCAGCCCC